TCTGGATTTTCACGGTGTTCCGCTACTTCTCAGTTGTCGAGGACTCAAAGAGAGAAAAACTAACGCCCACCGGAGCTATCTATTTCATTTACCGGGTTAAAACCCGACCCGTATTTTTAAAGCCCATGCCGAATCTATTGAAACCATTGGCCCAACTTTAATCCACATATATTTTATTTTTAATTAATGGTCAAAAAAATAATTTCGTCGCCTGAGAGATTCGAACTCTCGCGGGGAAACCCCATGTACTTAGCAGGCACACGCCTTAACCACTCGGCCAAAGCGACTTGTTGTTTATGGTCACAAAATTGTTTTATGAATTTGTAGTTTTGCTATGAGCAATTTTTGTCAATTTATTTTCTTCTTCAAATCTACGTATTTGAAGTACAAATGACTCGAGAGAGAAAATATTGGTTTTTTTTAATAACCAAAAATTATTAGGATAGATTAGATAATGGTTGTTCCAATTTAACAAAAATAATAAAATTGCAAGATTTAATAGATTACTTTTAATTCTAGTAGTAGTAGCAATAACTTTATTTTTATTTTCCCCGGTTGTTTGGAGAACAACAATTGAAGAATATGACTATAATATATGAGCACATGCAAATTACAATAAACGACGAGAAAAATCAAGCTTGTCGTTTGAAAAAGGTAACAACTTGGTTATAAACAACGTCTTTGGCAGTAACACCCATGATGAAATCAGCATGAGCATATTCTTTCACAAACTGAACATCCATCTTATCAGTGTCGTGAAACCTAAACTGGTTCAAGAGATACTCGACGTCGGTCACATCGGCTAGGCAGTCTAAACCACCGTAGCTAAAGAAAAGCGGTAGGTCGTGTGGTATCGCCGATATGTTGTAATCCGGTGGTAACGCTTGACCGTAATGTTTCATGTTACGATCACTACTTCCGTAGTTGTATTTTCTTAGCACCTTGTCTCTTACCGCTACAAACAAAATTTACTTAATCTTCAAGAAGACTTGGAATGTTTTGTATATGTATGAAAAATGGGAAATATGTTTTTTTACTCACTTTGAGAAAGGTGGATCATGTTCTTGGTGGATGTAGATTGAGGTTCATTCGCCAGGAAAAGATCAATGGTCGATGCGTTAAGACAGCAATTCTTCCCTATATAATTTTGTAAAATTAGTTAATAAATAATTTATCAATGGTAATATGTGAATTTTTATTTGTCGCATTACCAGTGATAACAGCGAGTAAATTATAACAGTCGATCTTCGCTTCATGGCATATAGCCTTTATAAAACTCCCTACTATTCCACTGCCATATTTGTATATACAATTAGCTATATTTTATGAAAACAAACAAAGGCAATAACAAACAGATTTTAAGAATAAATAAAACATATCAATATATTTACCTTTTGGGGTTAAATTCTGCCAACCCGATAATAGCGGTGGCCTGTTTTTGAAAGACAATAAACAAGTTATTTTAAATCAAATATAGACAAAAGTTTTCACAAATATTAAAATAAAAAAGGAGGAGCTAGCTAGATACCTCGGCGAGGAAGGATCTGGCAGCGATGTCGCCAAGCACGGTGGTCATATGGCTGAGATAAGCAATAGGACTCAGCATCGCCGCTGATCTCACTTTATCCACCAATCCTTTTTCCGAGAACGACGTAAATCCTATCAAGGTCCCCTGATCATATTTTTTTTCCATTTTATTATCAGATCTTATTTTTTTAATCTAAAACATAGAAAACATATATGTTGATAACGTTGGACCCACCAAGGAGTGTCCGAGGTAATGAATCTTTTGGCCTGTTAGGCCGTGGACATGCTCAAACATAGCAGGCAAATCGAAACTCACTAGCTCGTCCCACGTCCAGTTCCAGAAAGCCTATATATAACGTATACTACAAAGGGTTAAATCTCTCAGTTTAATTGGGAAAAGTACGTAACCTATTATTGGTTGAGAGAAATGGTTAACTGAACCTGACCGGTTGATTAGGGTTAAGGTACTTGTGTCTTCTGCTGAATCTAGTCCCTCTTGTATTCCCCATCCACACATCAAATCCTTGATCAGCCAAAATCAACGGTAGATTTTGATCCGCCGGATTCAACAGCCACGACATTCCATCCTGCACATTTTAATTCTTACTTGATTACACCTTGTATTGTCAGCAACGTAACCATAAGAAATAAAGGACTAGTTTGTCAAATCATCAGAGGAGACAATTTATGATTCTGCATGCATACGTACTACTGTCTCTGTGACTCTGTCCAAACGAAACTTAAAACATAAGGTAAGGCAGAAAGTAATTTCTTTCTTGTGAAAAAAAAAAGTAGATAGTGCTGATGAGTTTGACATGCACTTTATTTGATCTATAATTTTTTAAGAATTCGATGAGTACTAGAGTTGATACGGTTATTTATATATAACTTGCGTATACAACCTTTTTCCCATACCAGAAAAGCTGTTTAGCAATTGACTGGATTTCAATTAACTTTCTAGTAACGCTCGATTTATATCACTTTATTTGTTGGACACACATGTTAAACACCATGCTGTTAAGTACTCTCTAGAGTTCTC